TCCAGCTTTTGGTGTCGGGGGCGGGGGGGGGGGGGTCAAATTCAAAAGCAAATGCACTTTCGGGCTCATTCAACATGTAAATAGGGGAGAAACATATAGGCAATTCGTTTGATATTTAACATAACGATTAGTTTCTTTCCTTCTTACCTATGAAGAATTCTCAGTTGAATTTTTTTTTTTAAATCAGTCGGGGGTAAGTTGCCCCCCCCCTTTGAATACGCCTCTGGTTAGGCATCGATTTTCATTATAAAGTACAGATCAACACGATGAGAATGTCAAAGTTTTGTTTAAAATCAGTTGCCTAAAATTAGTTATGTCCTTAGCTCCGTATTCTGCTCGGATGAACTCCCCGTAACGACTACAGGCCAGATTTCATGGCATTTATGCAACAGCGCTCCCTGCATGTGTTCAGAAAGCATCTCCTGTTTCATATGTTGAACTAAATGTCAAAGAGTTTTCGTGCACTGAACAATATCAAGTTGCACGTAACGTCTGCTTTAGAAAACCTTTTTGCATGGATAGTTTTAAATGCATATGAAACTAATGATTATTGGCGATATATTAGCATGGTTGGCAGATCATTGAAATTGGGCTTTGATTTTGATATTTGGGATTTTGAGAGACGCCGATTTTTATTGTGATGAAATCGACAGTTCCCAAATAAGGGTATACTATACACAGAGGCATTTACTTGCATCACACGGAAGAAATGTCCCCACATTTCAATGCGATCAAACTATACATACAATGACATAGCATGCACGTACAGCTAAATTCGCAGGGGTCGTTGCCATGACACCGGCTACCAGTGCATTGGATGATATTCCCCCGAAGTGTTCTGCATGGCGTAGCACGACGGCGCCGTGATCCAGGAGACACTGCCCCACGCCAACATTGCGGATGCCGAAGAAAGAGCTGCCAGCCAGGGCGAGGTCAAAGGGCGGGGTCAAGTGCTCTCCCATGACCTGCCAAGGAAGAAAGCAAGACCAGTTATTTGCGTGGCTCGGATTCTTAAAGTGAAGGCTCATTGACATGAATTCCACACGCTGCAGCCGTTCCTCTGTAATGTATGGGGAAAGTGAGACCTTTTTTGTTTCAAATTGTAGCCTACGTTTTTTTCATCTAGTCAGTTACAAGCTTTTCCTGACAAATCAGGGCACTGGACTGCTGTGATATACTCTTACATATATTTAACAAATCAGCAATTGAGCAAACAATATCCTTTTCAATTAATCGAGCGGCTTTACGTAATGTATGCTCATTGATAAGACGGGATGCAAGATACATAAAATTGCTTAACGTGATTATTGTACTTACGCTATCGAATGTTGGGCGAACAAACCAAAAAGGTCTGGTTTGTACGCCCGATAAAAAGGTATGACAGGGTGAAACGCAAAACAACACAAACCAAAACAGCAAAAACACGGAGAAATGTGGACAGAAAGAAAAAAGAACGGGGAGATTCCATTCATTGCCTTTCATGAGAATATTACAGACATTTTTTCTCGTCTTCAATCCCAATCTCGGGTCGATCCTACAATAGCCAGACACATTTAATGTCTCTGCCAAATCACAGAAAAAGATATGTCAGACCTAAGTATTGAAAAAGAGAGCGATATTGTAACTATTTGACTCCCCTTAGTTGTTTCTCCTACTTTTGGAAATACTATCGAATTGCATCCTAATGAATGCCTATTGCATTTGGACGTTAGTTTTGGAACATCTGCCACTCCTCATGACTTGACCCGACACTGAACCATGTAGGCTAAACATCTAGTTACGGCATGGTAGGGGCAAACTCTATAGCTCTATGCAAATCACTAGAATTTGAAACACTTCAAAGGTTAAGAGAGTAAGGAATAACAGTCTTCAAGTGTAACATATGCACATATCTATATAGCCCTCAACAGTTCAAACAAAGTTTACTTGACTGCAAAACCCTATGTGACGGGCTTACCGCTGCACTCTAATCTTGTCAGGGACTACAATACCACCAGTCGCACAGTTTGTATCGATTTCGTCTCAAGGAAGACGCCGTCTGCGTGTGGTCGCCAGTCCGCCAGTGCACAGCTATGATCACAGAGGGGCCGTCGGGGACCTAATTCAAGCCATTCAGATCGATTTCCAATTCAAAAGTTGTAACTAGGATTAACTCTTAAGCAAACCTCGGGCTCCTGTGCATTATTTACATGAAGGCTATTCTCATACTATGCTCAGTAGTTCCCACATGCTTAACAGTTTTTGCGCACATTAATGATTCAAATGACGCTGTTTGCGACACCGCTCTTTGCGATACAAGTAATTAGTCACAAGAACAGATACCTTGGTTCCAAATTTTGATGGAATAAAATAAGACTTTATGGATATTATATTTTTGTGTCTCGAAATATCCCATTCCAAAACCTTGCATGATTATCCATTGGAACGTACGTCATCAGTAATTTTCAATCTGACATTTTTTTTTAACTCCAAGCATCACAGACCGGAAAAATCGCTGATGGGTCGAAAAGGGTCTTTGGGATGCCAAATATTCCCGTCAATTTGCTTCAGTAATAACTAATAGTGGGATGTGCCACAGATATCACTTCTGCAGTTTGCACGTACCTGATCAGTGATATACTCCTTTACGAATATGTTGTGGGTTTCTTCTCCCGCTTCCTTTGGTTTTTGTAGATGACCACAACCACTGTACTTTGCTTTGATATCGAATGGCGTGTCTTTTGTACAGAATATCTGCTCCTCGAATGAGCTCCTGTTGACTTTGAAACAAAATCCCTCACCAGGTCTTTGCACTCTACTCTCTTGGGCTACACTGAACATCCACGGTGTGCCTGATAGCTTACGATTCCTTTACAATCTATTTCACGCAATGCCTGTCAACAAAACTGGGTAAACACCGGCAGTCCACGGGACAAAGGTCCCCACCTGCAGCACACTGATTTACGATCCCTGTATCTCCCTGCGTGGATTAAGTCAATAGCAACGGTAAACGATCTGCGAAAGACGGGGCCTAGAAGCCAGGCAGGGTACGCGGCCAATAAATTGTGGTCGATATTTTCTGCTGTGCCCAAGTCTGTGAACAAAAATTCACGTCGTAGTTTGTGACAGGTTTGCGTTGCTATACGTCGACCTGTTTTATCAAAGAATATTTCTCACCTATATTTGTTTTTCAACAGTTATTTTCTTGTTAAATGTCATAAATTGAATAGTAGCTGGTCCCTTATCTCATCTAAGCCACTCACGGGCTTCCAGTGTTATGTTGCGAAACGTCCGGACTGTCTCTCTTGTGGCGGGTATTGAAATACGATCGGTGTCAAGCTCCTATCAAGCAGACGACTATTTCAGGGATTTGGGTAGGCCTACTGAAATGAAACAGACGTCTGATGGTATACTGATATCATTCACTCAGAGCCGCTCCATGTACTGTACTGTACCTTGGCTGGCGCCCTCATTTACAAACACGTGCGTACGCGTCAATCCGAAAAGTACGTTATGTCGATAAAGGATATTTTAATGTTGAACCCATTTTTGGAGCTTTTTGGACTCGGATTCGACCCAAAATACGTTGCAGAAAACAAGACTAGAAAAACGAAGTAATCTTGAAGATAGGCTCAACATGCAAGTGTCAGTTAGGGTGGCCTTTTTAGTCGATTGCCAGTTATATTTGACAGATTTTTCAACAAAAATTTCAAAGTTCGGTGGAATGATTTTTAGCAGATTTCTAGAAGAGCCAGTAAATTTTAACAGAAAAAATAGAGCACGAACAAACTATATAGGGAAACTGACTGGAAATGTAGCACGTTTATTTGGAACAAACTGTTTTCTAAACAAGCCATTGGTTTACAAATCCTTACTTGATGGGACAGACTGGCCAGTTCATGCACTGAGGGAGTTCCCTAGGATTGTGACGTAACACTACAGACTACGCGTACGGTATGTTATTTTCTAAATTTTGTGTGAGTTTGACTTAATTATACTCTGTTTGGTGCTTTACATTAGGCAATTTTACAACATTTGCATTTGAGGTTGAATTTGATTTTTTTGTTGAGTCTAGCAGAAATTGCATCCAGCAGAATATAGTGCATTACCCTGAAGGCAGTCTCAAGTCGGTGATACAAGCCAATGACTCTTGAAAATATTTTTTTTTAAGATTACCTGTTGAATAAATCTTCCAAAGTTAATTTCTTGATCCTCAAGAGAAGGTGCAACTTTGGCCGTCCTCTGTTATTTTCGTCAGGTGGAAGCGGGCCTTGGTGCAAACACTGTCAAACGCATAGCTCGTAGGGTTGCCCCTGAGGCTCACAAGACACAGCGTGCCCCCCCCCAAAAAAAAACACGACAAAACAAACCCAAGTTGTTGGTGTTCCCTAGATCGTCACAGCTTCATGAAATTAAAATTGCAAATAAATAATGAAATCAAAGATTAAAACCATTTGTGAAACTAGTAATTGCAACAAGTGACTGAAGTATAACTCTGTCTGAAGTACCCAAGTTCATGACTTACAACTTACGAGGCTACATGTACTCCACTGCATCCATTGTTAAGGTAAGTCGGGGGGAAGGAAGGGTGCATATTCCACCAAATATATGTATTTCTGCGCACGAGCTCATCAATCTATTGTGATCCCACGGGGTTTTTACAATAAGACATGCCATAAGTAGGAGGGCTCACAAAATTATTTCTATAAATCCTGAATTTTTTTTCTTTTACAAAAAGCCCCAAATTGCAGTCCTATTTTTAATAGAGGCGGGCGGCTACATTGAGAAATGAGCACTCAGTTTTGCTGCTATTTTGGGGGTATCTTTGGGGAAAGGCGAATAAAACATTTTTCGTGGCTAACCCCATAAAATTCAGTGAAAAAGGGAGGCCAACCTCTTCACGACAGTCAACAGGCGGCGCTATTTCTGTTTTCCACAGGCGTAGTTGGTGTAGTGCAACCCGTCGAACGGTTTGCGCGTGATATGCGTACAACGGCCTGTGCGCCTATAAACTGTTTCATTTAAAGCTACAATCTCCAGTGCTTCTATTATCTCTAAGGATTATTGAAGCACTCGTTTAATTTTCAATGTGTTCACCAGCTCTTTGTTTCATGGAGATTCTAGAAAAGAATTCCCATTTTGGCTTCTCGATCTTGCTGTGAATCCTGCTCGCGAACACGCTTATTATGCATTCGCTGCGCCGTGACCTCCTCAAATTAATAGTTGAATGCAGTTTTGCGGAGGGGGGTGGCGCTTTGGGGTCCTCATTTTCCGGAAGGGCTGTGAATTCATCACGCTGACAAAGGCGAACTATTACCTGTTTTTTGTTTTGTTTTGTTTTGTTTTGTTCTTTTTTGTTTGTTTTTTGGGTTTTTTTTGTTTGTTTTTTTTTCTTTTCTAATTTCTGAGCGGGGGAGGCGAGCCCACTCAGAGATTCATCCAGCAACAAAGACTGGAATTAATCTAGCGCACCAAATTCCATGTGACAACAGAAATCTGGAAAGAAGACGGCCTATAAATGGCAGTGTTGGTCATACATCGTGTTTCTAAAGTTTCATTTGAAAAACCATTACGGATGCAAGAACCCTGAAAAAAAGTTATGTACACTTTTTATCATAAAAGGTGTATAAATTCTATACGAAGACTTTTACCCCCACAGTATATGCCCACAAGGAGACCAAAAAGATAAAATACCAAGCTCACTTTTGGGTGTACACTTAGGAGGCTTGTCTGAACACGTGAAGTATGACTGGCAAAATATTCAGTCGACCGATCCACTCTGCAGCTGATATCCTTCCGCGCAGTGAAACGCCACCTTGTCACCAGTGAGATAGAAGCGTTTTCTGGCTTGACGGATAGTTCTTTAGAGACGTTGGCGGGAAATCAGCCAGCAACTTTGAAAAAACAACAACAACAGTAAAAGGAAAACAGACATGGCTGGTAGGGGTTCTGTCCCCCCCCAAAAAAAAATTGAGCAAAGTGCATCCAGAGTCACTTAATATCTGACTAGCACGTCACCGTACGAAGAATCACGCAGTATTTTGTATTATACCAATTCCATACTAGCCAATGAACTATTTACTGCCCTGTTATGAAAATTGCCAGTCTAGATCTATCCTTTGTAAACCGAGTCCATGGAGGAATAAGCCCTGTTGCCCAGTGAGGCTCAAATTGGCTAACCTGTCGTTCTTTGTTGTGCAAGTTGTGGGTAAGCCCGATGGATAGCTAAGCTGCAAGTAGTAAATTAAGGACGAGGATGGTTATTCTTTATTCATTTATTGACCTTAGTGAAGAAAGTCTTCCGTGAAGAAGAATTGTGTAAATTTACATATATTGTCCTTCAGGATGCAGTCCTTTCCCATACTACTATGAATGTAGTTTTGCGAACTCCTATAGCCTACCATTTAACTCATATTTGGTATGAAAATAAACCTGAAACCTCAACCTGAAGCTTCGCTAACAAGTAGCCTACTGAGCGTTTGAGGAGTAACCCACGCGCGCTTTTCCTGCGTCATACTACACTATGGTGAGCTCTAGACGTAAGCGTCCTGTGCAAATGCCATGTAATTCATGCCACAAATTAGTTGGAGGCAACATGCCTGCGTGACTTTTGTCTATCAATTTGGTTGGCCGGACATCAATGGATGGGGTTTGGCTCTGTGTTAAATTCGGCAAGAGGACTTCTGCCAACAGTAGAACGTGCGTTCAACACGGTACGCTTTCTCATCCTTACAGAAAGTCACGTTGAAATCACATGTTGCTGTGTTATTGGCTGGATCAGAAGCAATTTATGTGAAAGTGTGCATCCGAGTCCGAAAAAGGAGCAGGGACCTGACCTAGACGTCAGGTTAAGAATTGGCGGGACTCCCGAGTTGTCCATCGCTGTTAGCAGGCTCCAATTTAAGCATTCAAATTCGTTACGCGTACCCAGCGTGCTCCGCGTCAAACGCGCCATTGAGCTCCATTGGGTGCGTTCGATTAGCTTACACGTGTAAGTCAAACTTACACGAGAGCGTTTGTTTAGCCGTCACGTGATCCTCATGCCTGCCCTGGTGTCAGCCACTACAACCCCGGCTGGCGAGCGGGTCTCTGGAGGCTGCCCGAGTGTAATGACGTCACGCATGGCCTGTTCGTGCATGGACGCACATGATGGAACGTGGCGGGGACTTGACCTTATTCCCAGGATGCCTTGGCGAGTACACTGCAGCGTTCGATTACCCTCATTTCGAGGCTTCCCTTGCGTGTAACACTGGTGTATTTAGGGAAGCTAATCGAACGCACCCATAATTAAACGGGCGCCTATGCGGTGAGTACAATCAAAATTATGGGCAAATTCACCCCTCGGTATAGGGAATTTACACACAGTTGAAGAATTCCAGCCATGAAATTCTGTGAAGCCATTTTTCGATTGTAAACAAATCCTAGTCTATTTATTTAATCTGGCCCTTAGGAATTCAAAATAATACAGTTGCAACATTTGAAAAAAGAGATAGCAGTACCGCAAAGCAAAAAAATGTGAACATATTTTGGAAGCACATGTGAACAAATACAGGCAATGTAAATGCGTTGAGCGTAATGCGCACGCGCACTGGACACCCTGCCATCCGTCGCTTCGCTGATTTTTTGCCCATACTTTTCAAAATCACAGTTATACGCGCCATACTGGCGGGCTATACGTTTATTACGTCTTCGGGTATAAAAAAACCCGCCCTCTTTTGTTCCGCTCAAATTGGACACCTGCTTTTAAAATGAATTGTGATAAAATATAAACAAATTCCTAAGTTTTCTTCTTCTGGTCGTTCGTTTTGGTTGTGACTTCAGTTTACTAGGGGGAGTAAAATGCGCTGGGCCGGTTTTAAGCGTGCGGCTCGGGCATGAGTTGCGTCCATTCTCTTCAGCAAGACCGGCCAAGCACGAATTTATACCTTTTTAGTCGGACAGCTTAAAGAATTACATTATAGATGGAATTCACATTAGCGGCGTCTGCGCATATCCGCATCGAAACCGAGGTTCTCCGTGTTGAACTTTGTCGCGCGCGCCCGCGGAGTCCACACAGTACATGCAGTATCCGGTTGTGTGAATTCAAATTTCAAATTTACTGTAAAATGACAAATCCTTTGTAATATAATGCTGTAAAATTTCAGCTCAAAAAAGCACTTACAAATAAGAGAAATATCAATCGAAGTTCCTCCAAAGGAAAATCAGTATTCGAAAGAAAACTTCCAGACAAATGTCAATATCAATTTAATGAATTTACCAGGTATGGCAGAATTTAGTTCCCTAGGCGAAATGCCCAACAAATTGCAGTATAAACTCCGGAGAAAACAAGGTTGATTAAAAGTATGCCATAAGCTGGAACGATCTGAAAGGCTCAAGGTACGTAATAGAAGATCTTTAAGTCAAAACTTGCAAGTGTTATAACTACGTCTGCTCTCAATTTTAAAATATCTGACATACAGCTCGATGTAATATCAAATCCGTCCCTCCTTAATATGTCGGCTTTCAGATGTACTTAATAGACGAATCTTTCACAGTTATTTTGCAAGTCGATCAATGAGTAAAACGATTGCGGTTACACCATGCATAAATCTCTTTCTGGAGTATGTGTGGTTCTGAGAAGAACCGGGGAATAACTCGACGTTTCGAACAGTGCACTCTGTCCGTCTCACACATACTCAAGAAAGAGATTTATCCATGGTGTAACCGCAATCGTTTTACTTATGTAGTTCTTTCACCATGAAAACCTTCAAGTCTTACAAGTCGATCAATGTCACTAAGTTTAATAAGCCAGGTCACGGCCTGTATTCAAATAAACGATGAAAAAAATCATTCATCAATGTTTTTTCAGTTCCCTATGACTGGTTTTGTGAAAGGACTTGTAACTGAACTTGTGGAGGGACTTGTACGATGAACCCGAATGAAAGCCTGTGCAGTGGGTTCCAATAACTGACTACTGTTTCTGTTTGTGAAGGCCAGGGTGATGGACAATTAGGAGTCATCATAGGAGTAATAATTGCTACAGTTATCACTGTCATTGTGTTATCAGGAGGCACCGGTAAGTGTGCAATTTGAACTCAAAATTCCGAATTCAAATTGTCACAGGTTTCAAGCATTGCACTCACCCAGCAAGTCCCTTTTTCTTGTGCCATACCTGACTACTTCCTTACTCTTTGGACAAGGAGGAGAACTCAAGAGCAACTAAGAGCCGATCTATCCCCTGACACCTGTTGAGGAGGGTGCCAGTGGTGTACACAACAGGGCCGCGGACAGTCCGACCGGGGCGAATGTTGATGCTCCACACGGCTACTTCGCCGTGTTGGAGAGCGAAAAATGGAAGCAAGCACGCACACTTACGAACAAGTGGCTGGCGACAACTCCACCAGAGGTCTTCCTGCCATCTCTGCCACCTGGCAGAACTGCCAAAACGCTACCGAAAGTAAGGAAGCTTGCGCGGGTGCCATTGTAATTCAAGACACTTGTGAATGTGTAATCATTGATCAAGCTCCTGTGAGGGCGCTTATCTCGAATTGAATCGTGAAAGTGCAGAATAAGGAGCAAAGATATAATAATATCACCGACTCTACATGTGGGTCAGTTATTGGCAATTGTTCGGGGGCAGGAAGCTCAAAGTAGGCAAACTGTCGATCTAAAATGAAAAAAAAAGTATTCAGCTCGTGCTTGTGAAAAACACAATCCAAGATAAACCAATATCCACCTTGAAATGATGTGCACCCTAACGATAAAGAAGAAACGGGCTTCCAGGAAGTTTTCCCACTGAACTCATGTACTCGCTGGGCGCACTGAGACGCGAAGGCTGCTTTTAAACAGGAATCATATTGTTCTTGTTTTTAAGGAATCTGTGCACCCACACGGCGAGTTACAATGCATCCAATGACCATTGCTGCATCTTAGAAACACTCTCTCTTGTTCCCGCTCGGGGTGGCTACCCAGAAACGTGAAACGCTTTTTTTAAAGGGACTATATTAAATAGCAGAAATACCATTATTAAGTATAATGATGTCATAATTTGAAACAATGATCTCGCGTGGTGTTTTAAAGAAATTTACGAGCCGCACTTATTAATGTCAAATTGAAAGCAACGTCTTCAGTTTCACCAAACCCCATATAGGCCAAAGCTGTAAACAGGCGTTATTTACGAGTCAGCATCTTAAATCTCGGCGATTTCTATACTAAAAGTAAACACTCGCGGGAGTGCCAAGCGACAAGTTGTATAAGTTGTCATCATGGTGTTCCAGTGGATAGTTTCAAATTACAGAGAAAAAGCCATGTCATATTTTCCAAGGGGAAACTGCGCCAGTAACTCTTCAATAAAAGTTAGACTCTTTTTCCACGACCAGTGTGTAGATAGCATGAATGAATGATGAATTTTTTTTTTAAATGTACTCGCGACTTGTATGTAAATCCTGAAAGCGTTAAATATGAAACACACATGTAGAAACAGTGGAACTGTGCCAAATCGCACACGTTTCTGTACATAGCACGATATTAAAAATGCATTTGTATAATGTATAGTCACATCTACTCTGTCTGCCGCTGACAGCTTGTGTATAAATGATTACTAATAATCTTAATTATTTCAATGTAGGGAACAATACCTGAGTAAGGGCGCCCTCATCCTTCCAATACGAGTTACAGAGGTAATTAACATAAAGTTTAAACTTTTTAGGCGCTTCCCGGGCACGTGGTGTCAAGGTAGCTAGTCTCTTTGCTTTTGGGGTCTCCAATGTAGAACCGTACTCCTCTCTGTATTTTGTTTCTATTAATTTGCAGGGAGTATGGCTTCGGCCATGCTCCTAAATGTAGGACCCTTAGTAAGTACTTGTCATTGTTTAAATAGCCTACTTGACACGATCTTCTGTCGGAAAAATTGTACGATTTATGGGGCCCCGTGTGGTAACTGTTTTCTGTATTACAATGTGCCATACTGTGTTGGTCAGCTAGCCATGTGCCCTGTTAGCCTTTGACCATCAACCCATTGTTTTTATTAATTACGGTGCCGTCCAGCCATTACACTACACCAACTGTTTTCATATTAAATAAATTGTAGTTCTGGAGTTAGACATCATTTATTGTTCATGTGTTCTCCAAGAGCTCGTCTGATTTAATTAGGAGACCGTTCCTCCTTCCTCCCGCTGTTCAGCTGACGCGGGGCTGGTCCGCTACATTAATTATTACTAATTTATTTCGGTAAAAGGTGTAATTGTGAGGGCGACAATACTACCGAAAACTGTCGAAAATATATATTCATTGTAATTTTTATGGTGTATGACCTGGATTCGATCGTGCTTATACCAAGGTTTTGTCTTACAAAGGCCATCTTCAAATTCACTCGTACAATGTCCTTGATTTTTATGCTATTCAGTATTGAAAGTCTCATTTGATTCGTAACTCTGCGTGCGACGTTCATACGCCCGGAAACTACATCAAGACTGACAAAATGTCATGTCTGGACAGCTGCCAATAACTCGACTTTGAGTGACAAGACAGTGGTTGTTCACAGCAGCTCTAGGTTTTCAAAAAAACCCATTCCGTTTTCCGACAAGTTGCACTTTTTACATTGATACGGCTGGTGTCAACAATAATCTATGAGTAACCACTGACTACCATCTTTTTTATGAAAGATCATGACTAATATTCAGTCTGCATCTTTTGCAATCCACAAAAGTATAGGTGATTCGAATGTAAGTCGGCAGATCAATAGTTCATGCATTTGCAACCCCCAGGCTATACAAACTGCCCTATATCGAGATCAGTTACTTAGAGCTAGCACACAACTCTGCAGTCCCATTGGGGACCTGGCGTTCTTGTAAGAAACGTGATCTTGAATCATGTTGGTCGGGATTGTTTATTTGCTTTCGCTGTTGCACGGTTTGTCTGTCTGTGTCTCTCCAGTGTTGGTTAAATTTGATAAGTTTTACGATAATAGTGTGATTTTCCTCAATCTATTATTTTGGGTGCAAAGTTTCGTAATGTGTTGTCAAATAATTTTATCAAACTTTACAATCTCAAATTTAAAGATTTTATTAAAAACTGATACATGCATTTGTAAACGTTTTACAAGTGCTTTGAGACTTTTATGTTATGTATAAGCTTTTATAATTAATATTGCTAATGTTGGATATTAATAAAGCGTTGTGTTATGTTCAATAGGACCGCTTATATACAAAATTCTGCCAGAAATCTGGTCGGGGGAGATTTTTATCTTAGTAAGGTCTTCTTTTTTTGGGGGGGGAGCAAAGAAAAGTAGCATTATACTAAAAACATACCAGACCTAAAAGATTTGTTTTCTGCCCAAATGAACACCCTATCTACACCTGACCACCAAACGCTGCCAAGCAGTGGCCAAGAATTGTCAGTCACAGAGCGCCATAATACTTTCACAACTACCTTTGCAAGACGAAAGGACAGGCTAGTGCGGAGTGGCGTATCAGGGGGAGGGGGAGGACAGGGGAGACGCCCCCCCCCCTTTTTTCCCCAAACATCATGTCGAATAAGCCCAACGCTGCATTCGCTTTTGAATTTGCCCCACACCACACAACAAACACGACCACTTACCTTACATACCTAGTGTGGACATTCCTTTCTTTTCGTGCAGGTAAGAAAACTCAGTGAAAATACTCGTTTTTCTTGAACTGGAAACACGATTTTCAGCTGGCTTTTTGTACGAGGTTTCCTTGACTATTCCTTTTAAGAAAGATGACCCCTACTCCAAAATGCCTCTAAACCTCTTTTTCAGAGAAGGACAAACGTCCTGTGGACCTGTGCAAGTCCTCAGAACATCTTCCCTTCCTGCATCATGTGGACATCTTTTGTTCACAAGTCCACTCTAGGTATGCAAGGATAGCGCACCCACACACACTAAACGCCGCTGATTTCCATACACAAACAGAGTAGATCTAATTACCCCTTTACCCTGTCAGGGGATGCAATTAGATAATGTCTAACAAGCCTAAACGTTTTGGCTTATTACTAAAAACAAAAGAAATGACACTTTGAAAAGCAATAACTGACCCCAGTTTCACCATCTCTGGCCAACCGTGACAACTAACACGTCATTTGAAAAGTTCATGGAAACACTGCAACTTTTCCCAGTACATCGCCCACTGTGGATGCGGGGTCACCAAAGTCTTACCAAAATACTCCCCTGGTGTCCTCTTTTCATCAATGGTCATAGTACTTTATCTTTGAATATGCCTTGTTAGAAATGCAGTGACAACTTGGGACTGCCCTCTGACCCGACACTCCGCGGTTTATGGTCACCCAACACAACATGATGGAATCGGTGAACAGTACAGCACAATAATAATGCAGGCTACAGTTATGACGTTATGCCAGTTTGCTCGAGATTCTTGAAAATACCATCTCCAACCAAAAGGGAAAGATTTGCTTACAGAATTAGTGGATATACACCTAGGCCTTTGATCACCCTTACCTTTTGATCGCCCTTACCTTTTGATCTCCTAAAGCTTTTTGAAAATCGTTAACGCCAAAACCATTTCCAGAAAGAGCAAAATAATATTTACAATATCTTCATATTTCTACTCCCATAGTAATAGGAAAATATGTTTTATATATGCACACGTCTGTTGATTTATGTACCAAAAGCTTGTTGGAATCCAACCTATCACAAATTCCAACATCAAAATTATAGATTATTATAATCCTCAGGCTCCAACATCGTGAATGACACAATATAGTTATTCAAAACATTGAAAAATGTCAGAATAAATAGAATCAGTTCTTATGTGTTTATTAATAGCAAAACGAATCACTGCAACAGACTAAGATCACGTTAAAAAGGTGGAAACTGTATATCAGACCTAGACATAAAAAAGTATCAATGATATAGTCCATCAAATGTATGGCTGAATTGGACAATCCACATAACTTGACCATAACATATATCAAACTATTAATAGTTTGATAGTTAATAGTGTTAATAGTTTCAATTTTGAGGTACAATAACATACAACAACTTAGATATCTCCGCAAAAAACAAAAAGCCCCACGCACAGAGAGTTGATAACAACTTCAATTTGTGCACGCTGAAGTGAAATAAGACGTCAAAAACATTAAATTTGAAAACTGAACATCTTAACTGCGTGCATAATACTGCCTTTTAATGAATTAATTCATGTGAAGAAAAATAAGCTTTAAAAGAAGATTCCATGTTCAGAATTTCGGTTTTTTTGGTGAGAAGTATTAAGCATATTGTGGTGCTAATTTCAACTCTCGATTCGGTGTGGTTACGCAGAGGAAAGGTGATATCATTGTCGTATTTTCACTATTTTCTCTGAAAATCGATTACACAGTGAAGTCAAACACTGACAGTGACTGAAAATAAAAGGAAATGTTTGAAATGAGCACTCAACCTTCTGACCTCTCTGTTACACTCCAGTGTGATCTTCAATATTATCTCCTGCAACTTTCTAGCTGATCAGCCCGTCAGTCCTTCGTTTGTCGGCCACCGGTCCATCATACACCCCGTAGCGAGTCAGAAACTCCCGTGCGTCCTGCTTGCCCGTGTCGAAGAGCTTTCCCAGGACGTCCTGCGGGGGCGGGTTGAGAACAAAGTCCAGACCGTTGGCGTTGGAGCCGATGGGAACCCTGTACATGTTGAAGGGCGAGGCCTCGTAGTGCTCGTGGCTGATGTCTTTCCAGGTGGAAGTGATATTGTCCTGGGGTCGGTAGTGCGCGGCCTGCTTATTCGGGGAGATGGTGATGAGCGTTCCCGCTGGAAACTGAAGATTCTCGATCCCTCCAGGACTCGAGTTCAGAAGAGATCCGTCAACCCAGAACTAAAACATAGGTATTTAGGTTTAATAGCTTTTCATCGTGCAGAAGGGTCACTGAAACAATGAAGACTGGAATGCATGCAGAAATGACATCACAAGATGAAGGGAGAAATTTAAAGTAATTAGGAAGAGACGATGGTAAACATAATGTCAGCTTCATATAGTAGATTTACAGACAGTTAAATTACACCATAAGGTGTGACCCTCTTTATGGCACTGTGCAGAGATACACTGACGTAAAGAAACACAATATTTAAAAATAATATTTTGTTCGAGTTCAGACATTTAATGGCACATCTGGTGACCCGTAGCATTACCTTTCCTTGGAAAGATGGAGCTTTCCAGTCACTGAACCAGGGTACGTACATGCTGGCCAGAAGAACCTGTAAAACGCCGCACAAAAAAACAGTTCAATTGTTTTCGGGTTTTTTTGGATAATTTTGCAATATTTTAAAATCAAGTTCAACATCCCACAGCTAACACGATTTTTAGTAATTCCCCCAAAGGTTTATGCCATCTTTTGCAAAGATGGGAAAGGTGTGTCGTCAGGTTGGTGTAACCAAGGCTTTATGTGCCGTTGAAAAAATGGAATTTTCGTCCCATTTTCACTGTCCAAATTTTGCTGCTTTCAGTTTGGTTTGAAAATCTGATTACGGTAGCAATCTGCTACCATCTGCTTCAAGGCTTTCCTTGAAATTTCTAAAACTTCAAAAATGACGGTAGCAACAACAAGCTTTTTGAGCCTAGTAGCTTTCAGTCTGACTATTCTATTGCAAAAGATGCAATTTCTTTATCAATTTTCAAAAATGATTTGGTTCAATCAGGAAAAATGATTCCAGGGAGAAATATGCATGTTTTTTCCAAACCTCAATCAGGTCCTCTCTGCTGCTGAAAGTTGTCACCACTTTCCTCTCGCCGCATGCCCACACTTTCCCGCCAAACTCCAGGACGTTCGGCTTTTTTGTCGGCTGCGGAACGAGGGCGCTCGTTTTGCATCGGGGGTCAGGGGTCACGGACACAAGCTCCATGATCGGCACGTGGAGTCGCCCTGAGCAGGTCACGTGGGCGTTGTCCTTCAAATGGGTGTCCAGGATGTTCCGGATGTCGCTCATGAGGTCATATCCCGGAGTTACGGCACCGTAGGTCTTTTGGGAAATCGATTCCGCCAGATCGTAAATCGATTGTAAATATTGCTGAACAATTGAAAAATAGATGATCGATTGACATGAGGTTAATAGAAATCAGGACGACAATGATTGAGGACATATCACACACTTTAAAGGCAGTGTGAAAAGGATTTAGGGCAAATCATTACTAAAATATGAAGTCATGTTTCTATTATTTTTGATTTTGGTTGAGGAATACGAATAGAGGTCTCCTGTCACAGGGTACCATACTTTAATGTGCAGTCTGAAATGAAAAACAATCTCAGCTAGGTTCTTGGAGTCGTCACAATTTCAAAAATCCAGCCTGCATCATATTCATATGACAACTCTCTTTTCCCTATAGATGTTTAGTGGAAATTATGTAGGCCTGCATTCGACATGGCTAATCTGTGGCTGTTACTGTTCTACCAAAGCACAGAAACGTCTACTCCTCAGGACTTACGGAAAGTCTCTCTGGCGCGCTGAGCATGACACACGCCGTGCTAGCCCCTGCGGATGTACCCCCGTAACACCGCACATGCCGCACTACTTCCTTGCCGTAATCTAACAGACACACCGCTGAGCCGATATTGTACACTCCCAGAAACGATGTTCCAGCGAAGGAGAGGTTGCAGCCTTCAGATGACATTGTGACTGGGGAAAATAAAAAGTAAACACAATAAAAAAAAACAGTAACTTATATTTTATTTATAATCATTATTCATGTTGCTACGGAAGCGTATAAGGTCCACTGGCCAAAAAAAATGTTTTTCGAGTTACTATCTCGCCGCGGCGAGATAGTAACTCGCCACGGCGAGTTACACATTCAACGATTTAACTCGCCGCGGCGAGATAGTATCTCGATAAAAGGTTTTTTGTAAGTGGCCCTCATACGCTTCCGTATATTGCCCTCTTTCTCCAAAAAAACCACAGACAATTACCGACCACCTGCGATTGCCTGCCTTTCTTGACCTTAATTTTCTGTCATTGTTACACATCAGTAAGGAAACTTTTATGAAAGTAAAACCTTTAACAAACAACCGTCAATATTGTCGACCCTGTGAAGCCTAATAGGAAAGAAGCTTCCAAAACACGAAATTCCAGTCTTGTTTATTGGCCTGTGTTTGGACACGGAGTGGATTAGTCGAGTGTACGGGTACAGAGGGATCAGGCCATTTCTCGGTTTCTTTCCAGCCTTCGTTTCCGCAACTCCACCTAAAGAACAGAAATTCATTAAATGGTTAAAAAGCACTCCAAACATTGATCTCCTGTCTTGAATATGAATTATCAATGCCTGTCTGTCTGTCGGGCGGGCTGCTCCCCCAGTACGGACAAACAGCGACCTGTAGACAAGTTACAACTTATGGTGTCCATGAAACAACGGCAAAGAATCACACAGTCCAACTTAGTTTTCATGCGTTTTGCGCCACGTTTGTGGTTTTGTACTAAAAACAACAAGGGACCTTATCTTAACTAGCGGTGCACTGCCCTGGTGTCTTGTCGGAGAAATCAACTTTACAAAAAATATGACTCCACGTAGACTTAAGGCCATGGTAGAAAACCTACATTTGGATGCTTGATCATTGGGCAGGGCTATCGACACTAGTCTAGGCCAATACAGTTTGTGACCAAAGTCCCTATTCCTCGAGCTGAAACGAATTTTGTTTCCGCCCAGAAAAGGTTCCACTTTACAGCAATACTTTATCAAGAGTACAAAAATAAGCGTCGATTGTCAACGGTTGCTCCCCATCTCATATCTGCTTAGCACGCTCAAGTAATATTCCAGCGACAAATTCTGGCCAGGATGTAGAATCGACGATCGAGTCTTCCCCGGCTGCTCGATCAGGTGCATGCAGGAAGCAGAGAACACTGTGCTTGTCAATGAGGGCAAAACAATTGCAGGCTTACGGTCAGAGAGCCGAAACAGTTAACAAATTAACCAGTTAATTTCATCTTGGTTGGCGGCATTTGCCTGAGATCATAACCTCTACAATCATGTTTCTGTGCAAAAAGTACCTTATGGATCATTTTGATAGTCATCCGACCGGTATGGCGTCTAGTCTTGTGCAATGTTGAAAGACAACACATTGAAAAACCCATAGCTCAGCGGAATCCCTTGTCAATGAAAACTGGAAAGACTCCAAGACACGAGTTTGTGGAAGGAAATTTTCATTGCTTAAGAGACTTGCCCAAGAACGAAACCAGCCTAGCCACGCCGCACAAATCGCGCATAAGACGTTTTATCGATTTCTGGGATTATCCCCATTGTGTTCGTCCCACGTTTTAAAATTACATGAATCAGGGCTCGTTCCCAATACATGTACAACAAATCGATGGACGCGCTAAATAAATAAGCGTGTCGCACGGCAGTTATTTACCGGGCTTTCACGCCACAGGGCTTGCTAAGCTCTTGCTGACACAGAGGTGTCATTTGTCATGCTGAATAGTACACAGTCTAACAAAATAAAACTACGAATGGTGCATAAAAGACAGGCAGATATTTCCACAAAGGTCTAGACGCACAGAAATTTGTTTTAGGCCTTCACAAGCCAACGAGTAACAAACTAGTCACAACTGTGATACTCAAAGAGCTGCAGCCGGTACCTTTGCGTATTTGCAATCAATCAGTTTGGAATAGACCCAAGGAATACTAACATTCTACCGGTTTATTCCTATACAACGCTCTTCCATTTTCACTGGTCATGATATTTTTATTGAATAGCCGAACACGAGAGATCTGGTGAGACAGCCCCTGTAAAAGGCAAAGCGCTCATACGTTCACAATAGACTAGCAACACTTGTATGGCCTCTGCATTGCCAGGTAAAGGTTACGCAGCCATGGCAACCAGCAACAAAAGTTTAACCTCGAGGGCACGGCTCGTCGAATTCAGTCAATCTACCTCACTTTCCTCGTATTTTTCTGGATTTTTGGTTCACTGAGTACGGAGTGGACTAGGCCCTATACTGATACGCACAAATGTAAATCAGAGTGGTGTCCAGTTAATTTGGGCTCGACACGGCTTTGCTCAGTTACTCAAGCCGGTCTTTTTAAATTTAAAGTTTAGTTTCGACAGGTGAAACTAGAAATACCTTTCATTTTAATTCAATGCACAACAGCACGTTATATCTCCACCGAATATTCTGAAAACATCAGACGCACAGTACTGCAAAGGCTGCTCTGTGCAAGAGCAACATTTCCTCCTTTCGACTGTACTTTTCCACTGCATAACCCCTAAATCCTCGGTCTATAAATCACCTTTCAGGCTAATGCTGCAATAGTGGCCATCCTAGCCAGATTTTTATTTTTAACCAGGCTTTCTACCTGATTGCAGTCATGTTTCACCTGAAACTTGAACTCGGAAAAACCTCTGTGGCTTAACGTCACGAAAGGCAAGCATAAATTAGCAGTGTAAAGTGAACCACTGCCGGTTTGGAAATGTTCGCTCACTATTGGGGAACCGTTAATTACATTTACGACAGAAATTTACAGGGCTGAATCGAAGCCGTCGAAACACATTTCATTTCTAAGTAAGAAACTCGTTTCCGGAATGCTTCCCGAATGAGTCATGTCATGGAGTTGGCGTGTTCCATTACATGCGTAGGGCCTATCGTTTTATTTGAAGGAAACTCTACAGCAAAATATATACATTTACAAATAACAAACTTGGAAATTGTAAGTCCTCACCTTTCCCACATGAAATTACTTTCAGTTACAATCGGCCGCTGTTCATACGCCCACGACAACAAATCACCGACAAATATTCACACTGAAGCGCTCACGGCACGGCTAGGAGATCAAATACAGGAAGAGACAACAAGTGCACCCGTGAAAAGAGGAAGGTCCCCAGCTAGCAACCACGCGGACGGTGTAGCCCATACACGGTGTAGCCCACCCCACAAAATACAGTGCCCTCACTCACTGCGTGCACAACAGTGCTGCATGCCACAGCAGGGGGTCCACATCACGACGGCGCACATACCTCATTTTGATTACTCCAAGTCAGGTAGCTATAGTTCTAAGATTTTTTGGTCGACATTTGGAAACATCTGCTATGCGAAGTGCATGTAGATGGTCGGGTTTTTTCCACATAATTTATATCAATAATAAACTCATTGGATCAGGGCCGACAGTAATATCAGGAATTTATCTAATTTGGTTGTTACAGCAATGGGTACCACGCCATAATCATTTTGTAGCTTGTGGTAATTCGAACATGCTTCCACATGCGACACGTAAGCCAAGTAGACCAAACTAACTTTTTCAGATGAGACGGCTGTTGGGCCCTCTATCTGTGTTTCAAACAATCCATCATCCCGCGAGCCTCACTGACATGTAGGCTTCGTTGACGATGCAGTGTCAACTTTGCGTCTCTTTGGCCACTGAGTCAGAATTGTGTAGGCCCATTCTAAATGCTCGGACCAAATAGAAAAACCATCTATTGACATCTAACAGACTTATGATTCCTTGCGAGACAGCGTCCCCAAGGTCACACACGGACAACCATAGAAGTGTAGAGATTTAAGAAACTTGCAGCGTCCTCTATCGGTTACAGGGAGGCAACAAAGGGCAGCTGCAGGCACACAAAACATAGCCTATTATTTTCGCTTTCCACTCATAAAATAAGCCTATTTTGGTTTGGGAATGTAGCTCCGTTAACGGAATTGCTTTCTTTTATCACCCTTCAATATGTTCAACAAATGCTACATTTATTTCAGAGTGAGTAGGCCTGTGTGCATAAAAATAAATCTCGCAAATATTCAACTTTAGAGCTATCTGATGGATATAGTATGTTATGGATATTGTGAAAGTTTCAAATGTAAGTAAACGCGCGTTTAACAAGGAAGTGATACTGCTTTTTGCTGTGCATATTTTTCACATTAAAAGCGATAGGCCTTTGTGACATGTTCGATTGCCAATGAAATGTGTGTTTTTTTTAATTACATGTATTTATTAAGGGGATTCCAAATGAGGATCCTGTACAAGACAGGAGCACTTGAACATGGTGACTATCAAGCGTATGTTGTCCTTTGCTGCCATCCTAGGATCCGTTTTGAGGGGTGAGTTGTATGTATTTTGACAACTGAAACCAAAAATACCAACCAATGGCAATACACTTTATAGTTTGCCTAATAATTATCTATGTTCAGATCATGATATATCTAAACCCAACGTGTGCGAATGATGTTCGGGAAGTTAGAACAGTATGGGACTCGACAACATAAAGTAATGTTTCACAAGAGCCAACTTTCACAGTGCTGATTTGAATGATCAGTGTTGCCATCAAGTGCGCTTACTCTTTTCTTTTTCCTCTCAGGTCGTTCCTTCGAAGTCAGCATATCGAGAACAAGTCCGCATGCAATTGACGGCCGTGTAACCTCATATGAGTGCAGAATAACGGCACACAACAGCAGTAGGTTTGACCGATATTGGACCCTGGATGGTAGACAGTTCGGAGCTCTTAGCAGCAACTCATCCAGTGACACTTTACATGTCACGCTGCACAGGAATATGTCGGGTTCCACTCTGATGTGTTACGTGTACACGGACATGGGTGTCAAAAATGCAAAATGGACTATTGACGTTATGTGTAAGTAATCGTCACTTTAATAATTAAAGTTGTCATGCCAGTAAGAAAACCCGGCACAAGCGTATGCGCAAAACAAAATTTATTGTGATTAAATTGATGAATAAAATAAAACTTCCATTTTCAGATCCATCGAACCACGTGTCACTTGACATGAACTCTACAAAGTACTGTGATAGCGACATGGACTGCAGCGCAGATGTCACGATCGGTCGTCACTATCGATTCACCTGCAACGCGTCTGGTTCGAATCCAGCCAGTACCATCTTGTGGCTGATCAGCACGAAGGGGCATCGGGGAGTGTGTCTGACTGAGATTCCTTCCGATTGGAGTCAGTCAGGCCAGGATGAGAACGCGGACTGGGATACATCGAGTCAAATCAACCTGCAGATTCTCCCTGAGGATCGCCATAGCAGCATTGTGTGTAGAGTGATGTTTCCTAGTAACAAAACACTGTTTACAGAGATTGCCGTGAAACTGCAGGTCAGGAATGAACCTGGTAAGTGCAGAATGAAAACGAAGTAAGTAACCAAGCACTTGGCCAATCTGTACTCTCCATCATGCTGTGTCTGCAGTCATAAATCATTTTTTTCGTATGAACAAAACTGGGGTTCCGACCGATTCATCAAGGTGAAAATGACTCACACAAACACTTTCTGTGACTCTGCTTTTCCAGGAAGTCTGAAGGAACTGCTAATGACGGTCTGCATCCCAACAGCCGGGGTGATTGGGTTGGCATGCGTTGCCATTGCGATTGCGCGAAAGAGGCGACAGAAATACAAGCCCCGTCAGCCACACCCGCAGGCAGATTCGTCTCGGCCTCCATCCTCCCAACATGAGGTGAGAAAGAGGGTTATCTCTTGCAATTCTTAAAAAAAAAGATACATTCAATCAACGTTATGCCTAATAAACCACGAAAGGGGACAACATTGACCAGCTATAGTTTTAAAAGCAGGACGCTACAAAGTAGACACGTAATTGGGTATCATTCAAAGAGGCAACAACTTTTCGTCTGATGAAACCTTCCAGTCAACCGATTACTGCTACCCCCTGGCAGTACGACATGCATGTTTTCTCTGGCTATAAACTAGCATCCCCAGAATAAACATCAAATAAACTGATACCCTGACTACTGACGTTGGTAAAGGACACGTGGGAACGCTTGGTTGGTAAGTCTAAGCACGGGGCGTTATTGAAGATCAATTCTAATTGTTCGACTAAAAGTTACTACAAATTTTCATGAAAGGTTTTAAATTTTTAAGAAGTCATTTCATTATTGAAATTCGCTGGACGAGTGTTTTTATCTGATGCTAAATACATCAGGAGGAAGGGAAAGTGCCTTTGAAAATATTGAAACAATACATTTCTGATTTTCCCACTCTGACGAAATCAGGAGAGTCAAGCATCGAAAGAGAAGGGCGTGTACCAGGAGATCCCTGCGGTTCGAGAGTATCAAACGCGGGTGTCCATTGACGACCATAAGGAAACCACTTTCCTCAGATAAGCTAAAACCAAATGCGTCATAAATTTCCAATAAATTCATGATCAAGATTCTGGCTACACACTTTCTGAAAGAACATTAAACCCACCAGTGGAAGCTTGGAACTGGGAAAGGGGGATTCGAGGATGACTTGCCCGGCCATGGAAATTTGAAAGGAGGAAGAAGGGTGCTCACACCACGTGACACTATCGAGGGCGATTTCCATGATACAGAGGTATTCTGTATGTGTAATACACTCCTGTAGAACTTTTCATCAAAACGTTCTACCTTTTTGTGTGCTACTAGACACAGTTTGGTTGTTGAGAAGTCTGAAAACTCTTCACAATGCGCCTTGATTTTTCCCACCACGAAAAAGTAGGAGATAGGATTTAAAAAAAAATTATCGCTGGCCAAAAAGCGATGGGGATATTTACCTGCATCCCCTGATTTAAGCCTGGGGTGAAATCTTTATGAAACCGAGTGCACTCCTAACCACCCATGGAAACACTCACTCTGTAAATTCACGAGGAGAAGACAAGTATAAGAAATCTGAGAAACTCCTTTTCAAGGGAAATGTTCGAACGCATTCAGGCCTTGAAAATGACCGTTTCGCAGTGACGAGAGAAACGTTCGCACTATCATAATTTGCCGGACAAAAACCGTATTTTTTACATTGAAAAAGTGGGACATTTTATTGAGAGCAACTTACAGTGGAGTATCCAGGTTTTGCAGTTGAGGGGATATTTTCTGCGAAAAAAATATCACTTGTGATATATGCTCAACACTGAATGGCTTTGTAAATGTTGCAATAAGATCCTTCTCATAACGATTGACAAATAACTTTCAAAGTGCCTAAAGATATTCAGTATGAGAAATGAAACATTATTCTTTGTATGAGACGGAGCAAAAGAATAGTGTTACTTATTGGTCTGTTATCCCAGACGATTGCTGCTTTTTATTCTCGTTTAATACTTTCTTGCATCTGTCGGTGCTGCTCCCGCAGTGCTACAGCAAAAAAAAAAATCTGGCCCTGCATGAACACTCTTGTGATGATGTCAATTCAGCAGGGTTGTTTCTGCAGTGAATACTGTTGCCAATTGGCGATGCATTCACTATACAAGTTGCTGACGGGGATTACTGTAACCTCTTAAATTACACAAGG